GGTTTAACGGTTTAGGGCTTGAGGGTTAAGTGAGGTCTTCGATTTCGAAGCCTGTGTCCTAACGCCCCAGACTCAGCTCGTCCCTGAACCAGCTACTTATCGTGAAACATTTGTCTTAAAGGGTGTTATTGCAGGCTCCAGGGTGGGGTGTTCAGTGGAGATCTTAGAACTGCCCGTTTCGGGCTGGGGGTCCGGGCTGCCTGGTTCGGTTTGGTTGCGGAGGTTAGGTTTCGGCTGTGTCCCCCGGATCTGCCCCCTGGCAACGCTCAGCACTGACTGTTGATGCCGACCTGAACTGAGCCTTGTGCAACAAAGATGCTTGTCCACACTTTCTCGGATTGCTGGCAGTACTAATCAGTACTACCACTGTGCCACTACTGCACTCCTACTGTACCACTACTACTACTACTACTACTACTACTACCACTCTTTCATACACCGGCGACTAGTAATACCAGCAATATTGGTAATAGTAGTAACAACACGAATGTTGCCAGAATCCAAGGCTACCGGCCTGCAGAAGCATTGCTAGAACCACAGCACTCAGTCCAGTTGCACTCTGCTGTCACTATGGCGACCATCACCGCTACCCACTTCTTCAGCTCCTGGCAGCGACCATTCCACAAAAGCACTCTTCAGCTTCCCAGAGAACCCAATACCCCTTAATTAAGGAGTATACCTTAAACTGTAATATTAAGGCCCCTATCATTCAAGGTATATTCCTTAATTAAGGGGTACTTGGGTTCTCTGGGAACCCTAAGCCTGAACCCCTAAACCCTAAACCCTAAACCCTAAACCCTAAGCCTGAACCCCTAAACCCTAAACCCTAAACCCTAAACCCTAAGCCGAAACAGGGGTGCGTGTCCCGATGCGCCCAGCTATGCCTCGGGGGGCGCGGTCTATGGGGATGAGTGCCTCGTCTTGGGAAGTTCCTGGAATGGGTGGAATGGGTGGACTACAGCCTGGTGGAGCTCTACCTGGGGGTGCTTTGATTGGCCCACGGCCCCGATTTCGTGCCCCTGATGTTGGCCCCTATCCGACTAATCATTCGGGGCGACCCGTGGGCAGACCAATGTTGGGACGGCCCGTGTCTCCGCGAACCCCGGTGATGCAGCCGTCTACGCCACTGCCGCCGCCGCCGCCCACACCGCAGCCACCCACACCTCAGCAGTTGGGAAGCCAGCCCATGAGTCCTGGTCTACAAGAGCTGGCGTTTATCCCGGTTGCGCCTGGACCTCATACTGGGCTCACCACTCCTTTTGGGGAGGACAATAGGCCGTTGCCTTTGGAGATCCCGGCGGCCCCAGGGTGGGACATCCTTGAGACCCCCGACTTCCTCATGTCCTCAAGCTTTGTGGATGTGGAGGATGTCATTGCGGAGATCATTGATGCCCCGACCTCCTCGACGACTTCCACGACTACCTCTACAACAGTGCCCACGTTGGCTCCCATGGCTCCTACGTCTCCTGTGACTACTGACGGTGCATCAGGGGTTGGTCCGCTGTTGGAACCTGATGCGGGGCACGCTTCAGTGGGGGATGTATATGGAGTGGATATAGTTGGGGCCCAACCGCTACCTCGACTTCGGGATGAAGCACTCGCTCAGCGTATTGCCTTCCTGCTGCTCCAAGACCTCATGGCAGTTCTGGATGCGATGGCGCAAGGCCCGACACGACCTGGAACTGCCGCTGGGGATACCACAGCAACCACAGCAACCCCGGCAACTGCTTCTGGACATGGAGCTGGGACGCAAGACCCTGGTGCAGTCATGGAAGCCGACTCGGTTGTGGACGCCTTGCTGGAACAGACGGGAGAACAGGGAAGGAGTGAGGTGGATGAAGATCAGGAGGATGTGCAGATGGTTATGGTGGATGGGATGGCTACGCATGACGATGTGGAGGATGCTCAGGAGTGGGCGGTGGACTACGCTTCCTCTTCTTCTTCGGATGATGCGCTCCCGTCGTCGATGTGATGTACACTGTGGTTTTCAATGTCGCTTTCTTCTATGACGGGGTTCTGACGATTGTGTCGGTGCGGGTCTTCGATAACGTGAATGAGGACGTCGGGGAAACTGATGATGATGCCCTGTTTCACTCTACGAGCCCAAGGTGGCGAGTGCGGTCGTAAAAGTCCGTCTATCGTAGGTCAAAAAAAAAAAACCGAAACCCTAAACCCTAAACCCTAAACCCTAAACCCTAAACCGAAACCCTAAACCCTAAACCCTAAACCGGTTCTCTGGGTTCATCTTTCAGCCTGAGGCGGCTTGCACTGGGCAGGAGGACTGTGAGGTCGACACTTCAGGCGATCCCGCGGCCATGCTCCAGATCAGCGTTCCTTTGGTCGCACTTGTCCATTGCAGGGTTTAGGGTTTAGGGTTTAGGAACTCTACCTTATCCATCCCTAGAGCCCAAAGCAGGTATTATTTATAGACTTTAGACCCCGAAGTAGGTGCTATTGTATACTTGGAGCCCTGGGGCATTGCTACTGCCAGCTCTACCTCCTCGTATGCATACTGATGCTGTTACTACTAGTACAATTACGACAACGGCAGATGATCGGGGCTTGGTTCGAGATTGTACTACTGCTGTATTGTTACTGTACTACTACTGTAGTACTACTGTACCTGTGCTGCTACTGTATTACTGTACGGTAGCATGGACCCTTATAGCATATACTTAGACCCCAAAGTACCCAAATAGGAACTACATTAAGGCCAATGTATATACTATATGAGTACATGGACCCTTCGGGCTAAACATCTTCGTTCAAGTATCCCATGCTTCTGCAGACGCGTGCCAAGGCCTACGAGGCCATCAATTCATCGTCACACTTATCGAGAGCCGACTGCACCGCTCAGTTCCAGGCGGGTTATCCCAAGACCCCAACACTGCCAGGACAAGACGTGCCCTTCAATGGAGCCCTTATGATCCTGAATAGTGGGTATGTAGGGGAAGTTGGGGGGTCTAGGTGAATCCTAAATCCTAAAGCCCTGCAGTCCGCGTAGACGAGGCGGGCCTCTGCACGGACGGCCAGTGCGTGGATTGCATCCTGACTCAACTCACTTGCTGTACGGGGTAGCTAGACGCAGGTCTGAGTTTAGGGGGGACGAGTAGCTGGACACAAATTTGACCGATTAAGCCCTGTCAGGATGAGCTAATATAGGGCCCCAATAATTACCTATATTGTTTTTTGAGGGCTCCTTCTTACAATGTTAGTAGAAAGCCCCTTTTCTAATCATTAAGGCCCCTACATCAAGGGCAGCGATTATGAGTTTCGAGGTCCAGTTTGAGATGCAGGGCGGCTGTGTCGTTGTTTCTTTGGACCCGAGATGACTCGAGACTGTGGACTCTGACTTCGATTATAATGTCTAGGGTTTAGGGTTTAGGGTTTAGGGGTCTGTGCATCCCTCTCAAGAGGTAAGGCCCCTGTATGGGTAGTTCGCCTAAAGATTCGGGGCGCTTTCTAGATCCCCAGATGCAGTGCGGCTCCCGTATAAAAAGGACCCCAACAGGGACCCCAACTTAGAGAACTAACCCTAAACCCTAAACCCTAAACCCTAAACCCTAAACCTTAAACCCTAAACCATAAACCCTAACTACCAATATGAAAGGTCGGAGAGTTGCCGCCTCAGGCTCGCGGTCGATGTTTAGGATTTGGGGTTTTATAGGGGTTTAAGGTGGGTGTTGTTTAGGATTTGGGTTTAGGGTTTAGGGTTTAGGGGGTCAGAGGACGCTTGTTCTGCGCACAGCCGTCTATGAAAGAACGCCCAAAACTCCCAACCAGGCCGAAATCCAACTTCCCCAGAACCACCCAATCTAGACTGGAACCCGGAACCCTAAACCCTGAATCCAAGCCGCTCTAGTCCGGAATCCTAAAAGAAGCAAAGCCAAGCCGAGGACTCAGAGCTAACGCCTTTGTTGTTTGTAGGGTTTAGGGTTTAGGGTTTGTAGGGTTCGATTTTTAGGGTTTGGCCTGCTCTTTCCCCGATAGGACTAGAGGTATTTGTTAGGAGTTCAGAGTTTACAGATGTGAGGTCTCTCTGGGGAAGCTTTTCGGGTTCAGGGTTTCGGGTTTGGGTCTTTATCCTTTGGGCTGTGTATGGGGCCAGTCAAGAGCCAATGCCCTAACTTTTGAAGCCTTCAACCACCACACGCTTGAAGGTTCAGGACTCTTGACTATTAACGATTTCACCCGAAGATGCCAAAACCCTGAGCCCCAAAATCCTGAACCGTGCACGTTGCACTCTCATCCACGAGGTGATGCGTCGTTCATCGTACCAAATCCCGCAGCCGGGACCTTGCCGAACGGAGAGATGTATTGCAAAGGAAACAATGACAGAGACCCTCTTGCCGCTTAGCCGCCTTACGAGTGCTTGAGCTTTCTGGCTGCATCCTAACCTTCCCTCGTGCCGTGTTTGTACCATCGGCGTGCGAGTATGCCGAGTTAGTACGTAGTCGTCTTCAGGAACTCGTCCGATAACTTCCAAGGCTGCTGCAACAACAGACTTTGCTACCGCCACAGCAGAGGTTAGAAATCTGCAGCACATGCGCAACAGCAACTGTGAAATACCGGGCTGAATGACTGGTAGTAAGATCCTCTTAGTGTCCCTATAGACTGAAAATGCAAGGCATCCCTGCTTCGATTCAAAAAAAACGCCCTAGGCTCGAAAGCCGTAAAGCATCGGAACCCCGCCTAGGGCCCCTCTATTGAATGAACTGAGCCGCGCAAGTAAGGCGAGGCTCACGATTATGAACGGATTGAACGAGAGCCCCCAAAAGGTGCGTCTTGAGGGAGCCCACCGTTTCTGTCAAATCAGCAGCACTCCTGAACAAAGGAAAAAACGACACACTAGACCACCACAGGAGCGCAAATCCACGATAGCATAAGCAGTACTCGCAGTCGCAAAAATGGACCCAGTACTCGCAGCAGCAGCAGCAGGAGGAGGAGGAGTAGTAGTAGTAGTACCAGTAATCGTAGTAGGAGTAGTAGTAGCAGTAGCAGTAGCACTAGCACTAGCACTAGCACTAGTAATAGTAGTAGCAGCAGTCGTAGTGGTAGTCATAGTGGTACTAGTAGTAGTAGTAGTAGTAGTAGTAGTAGCAGCAGTAGTAGTAGTAGTCGTCGTGGTGGTGGTGGTGGTGGTAGTAGGAATAGTAGTAGTAGTAGTAGTAGTAGTAGTAGGAGTAGTAGTAGCAGTAGCAGTAGCAGTAGTAGTACATACTGCTACAACTCACAAACGGAAAGACCCGTGGCACACAAATTTCCTGAGATACATGTTCGCGACACGACTGCAAGACAGTCGATTCAATCCATTTCGTCTGAGGCACACGACAGCAAATCCGAGGCTCCATCCATGTCCTCACCTCGTGCTTCGACCAAAATAAGCCAACAAAAAGATTCAATCATCGCTGAGTGGGACCTGAAGATCTGAAAATATCTGGCCAACAAAGCTCGACATGCAGCAGCTGACGATGGATTTTCTCAAAAGACACTGGGTGTTCCGTACAGCTGCCATGGATGCAGTTCAGGCGAAACTCGCCCAGTTGGAGAACACGTTGTGCTCTTATTCGATGCAGCCTTCTAGTACTGAGCCGTTACTAAGTATACTCTGTGCCAAGATGGAACAGAGTCACAAACTTTGCGTCGATAAGTTGGATCGTCTTGACGATGCGATCCAGAAAATGTTCAGTAGCAGTAGTAGTAGTAGTAGTAGTAGTAGTAGTAGTAGTGGTGGTGCCAAACATGGTGACAG